AGCTGAAGTCGGATGCTTAACCAACTGAGCCACCCAGGTGCCTCAATCATTTCCCTTTCAAATTATAGCCATAACTAATGACTGAGCTGCAAAGTTCCTTGTACTCTAGGCTTATTTATACCTGACTCCCTAAAGCTTTAGTATTCTTAGGGTTCCATGGATCACAGATTGAAACCATTACTTAGTAAAAACATTCATGTGTAAAATTTAATATTGAAAACAAAGGGAAATGGGGGTGAGCTTCTGTAAACTGTATGTGTATTTCACACATATGAAAACATACCTGTTCTTCATTTTCAATCTGGTCACTCACATCCTTCATGCCCTCGCCTTCCCCAATTCCACCTCCCTCATAGTCATGGAACTCAGTTGCTCCCTCTCCTGCTGAATCTTCCATGAATTCTTTGGGCAGGCAAAATCCCTTAAAAATAAAAGAGCGAACAGTTAAGTACAAAAGCAATTAAAACAACAAAACAAAAACAAAAACAAACAAAAAAAAGGATTTCTAGTCCTGATACCAAAAAAAAAAATTGTTAGCTTTTTTTAGCTCGATATTCTAAATCTGATGGGAATATATATAGTAAACTTTTGACATTGTTTTCCTCCTCGATAACAGTTATTATGCAGTTTCAAAGCTTGACATCAGATTTAACATATCAGGTTTTGACTCTGTAGAGGCCTTTTAGTGTGTGGTAATTTTTCATTTGGCAAGACAAAACTCTTAATGAATTATACCTGGACAGCACCTAGGAGTAAGTCATTGAGCAAGGGTAGAGCCTCTCAGTGTCTAAATCCCAAAGGGATTTTGTCATTCTTTATTTACTTCTCAAATTAGTAAGACTAAGAGGAGAAAGAGGAGGGAGACAAGACATGTAACCCTGGAGGTTCAGCAACTTGAAACAGATGCAACAGGTTTCATTTTTACTTCAAAAATTGAAGAAAATTTAGTATGGTGCTTCTCAAGTAAAATGTTAGTTTTAATATAAAAAGAATATGCCCCTCCTTCAACTCTTGAGCTAAATCTATCATTCCTGGGGTAGGTGCTACATCTAGCCTCAGCTGTTTTCTGCCAAGGCACCTGGCTGGCACAGTATAGGGGCTAGAGTCAAGAACAGGTCAGACACAGACACACTCATCAAGTGTTAACAAAACTGTTTCGTGTTGGAAAATAGTTTGGAAAGAAAAATCAACTGCTAGCATGTGGGACAAAAATAAATAGAAAAACAAGTAGAAGAAAATAGTGGCTCTCTCCCATCCAAGTACTAACCAGGCCCGACCCTGTTTAGCTTCCGAGATCAGATGAGATCGGGAGAGTTCAGGGTGGTACGGCCGTAGACAAAAATAGTGGCTCTCAATCAGGAATTTTATCAAAAAGCTATCAAGTTGTCAATCTGAGGATGGAAATGTATTAAAAAATAAGCTGCCAACTAACAAGGAATTAAGATCCCAAACCTGCAAATACCGATTGTGACTCAGTTACAAAGAAACAGCTTTCCATGGATTAAGTGTTATAATTATGACATAGATCTATTATCTTAGCACTGAGTCTAACCTACTTTCAATTTCCCTCAGGACTACTCAGAAAGGATATGAATACAATCTGGATACTTAAAAACGTAAAGGAAAGGCAAACTCACTATCAGGACATGTATTCTTAGAAAGCTGACTGAGGGGGACCTGGGTGACTTAGTTAAGGGCCCGACTTCGGCTTAGATCATGATCTTGTGGTGAGTTCAAGCCCCACATCGGGCTCTGTGTTGACAGCTCAGAGCCTGGAGCCTGCTTCATATTCTGTGTCTCCCTCTCTCTCTGTCCCTCCCCTGCTCATGCTCTCTCTCTCTCTCTCTCTGTCTCTCTCTCACAAATAAATAAACATTTAAAATAGGTTCAGGTACAGGCAGAACATGAGTGTACGAGGCGGAGATTCAGAGGTCCTTCTGCAGGGCACATCACTCACAGTAGCTACATCTGGAATAGCGGAAGGGCTCCCAACACTTTGCTTATATTAAAACCCCCACACCCCACTCCAAAACACAGGCCAAAGTCATTCTAAAACCTGTCAGACAAGAGCAACAGCACAAGTGGACAAACAGAACTGACCCAAATCTCAGGGTATGCTCACCATACACTGTCCTACCGCTCTTTTGCATATGGTATATTTTCCAAGGAGTGATGAGATGTGAGACCGGCTCAGTGCCCATCAGACAGAAGGAGCAAATAAGACATTCATTTATTTATTACTCAACAAATACACACATTCGTCCTCTACATACACTGCATGGGCTTGTCTTCCATTTTTAAACCTTTTCTAATATTCCAGTTACCCAGAATTAAGAACTCTTGACTATTTATAAGAAGCCTAAAGCCCATCTTTAATTTGTAAATTCCTATCTTCAAGTGACTCTTATGAGTATTGTACTTAGATTTGGAGAAAATCTTAGAATACTAAGGAAATCAAAATAAAACAAAAAGTATATTCAACTGAAGGTAGTTCTCACAAAAATGCTAAGGAGTGTGGGCAGATCTCATTTTACAAACAAGGAGACTAAGGTTAAGGATAGCCTCTGGAGTTTAGGGATTTCATCAGTGGGGGACCTGCAGGTTCCAAGACCTTAGTGGAAACAGGCATAGCGAAAGGGTGCTGGACAAAGCCCTAAAAAATCCACAGGGAGAGCAAATGACCTCCAGCTGTTTGTGAATGTCCTAAATAAAAGCCTGTGAAAGCAAGCACTTAATGGCTACCAAGTATTTGGTACTGGCTGCACCAGGGTGCTTCACATGAACAGTCCTTACCTCCTGGGCGAGCTCTGTAAAGACCTGGGCAAGAACAGAGAGCAGCTTTGCAGTGCTACGGTGAGTTGCCAAAGACATGGTCAGGAAGAAGAGGACGAGGTCTGAATACCTGGAGAGCATGGGCACCAGACGCACCAATAAGCAGCAGGATTGGCTGAAGAACTGCGGGCAAAAGATCACAAGGCCTGGTCACACTATGTAATGGGTGCTGGGTTTTCCCTGTAATAAAAATGTTCTGGAACTAAACAGCAACAGTCATTGCACAATGTTGTGAATGCATTAAATGCCACTGATGGTAAGTTTTATGTATGTTTTCTCTCTTACACACACACACACGCCTCTACTATTTCTTCCGTCTTCACACAAACCTTCACAAAAGTACGCTTTAAATTCTGTCACTTACAATCCATTTACTTAATAAAGTGTACTGGTT